GCGCTGCGGCTGCCGGGGAGCCCCGCGCGGGAGCTGTCCGCAGCGCCCCGGCCTCCGCGGCTGGCTCTTGCGCTCCTGCACCGGGGCTGCGGGCCGCAGGGTCCCGTTATTCTGGCGGCGCCCTCCGTGGGGAAGTCCCTCCGGGCCTCCTGCGGCCGGGGCCCGCGTCCCCCAGCTCACCCGTTCCCTCCCCTCTTCGCCCCGTGTCCCCTAAGCCCGATCTCTCGTCGCCATGCCTCTCTTCCCTGTTCAGCTCCGTCTCCCTTCACCTCCGTCACTCCCTCCATCGCTCCGTCTGCTCCGCTCCCGTCTCTGCCACCCGGCCCCTCCTTCAGCCCCAGCGCCGCTTCGTCCCATCCCCCACTCCCTCTGCTACCCTCTCCACCCTCCCCCTTCACCCCATCCCTCCGCTCCCTCTCCCTCCCCTTCACCTCCTGCACCCTTCCTTCCCCTTTGCTCCGCCCGTACCCCTGCAGCCATCACCCGCCCCCTGCACCTCGGCTCCCTTCCCCCACCTCCCCTTTCCCGGTGCTTGCCCGCTTTATTCCCGCAGCTCCCGGATTCCACTCCCTTTTCTCTAGGCCCTCCCTCTTTCCCACCCCCCATGGTGAATCGTGACGAGCGAAATCCCGGTGCGTCCACCTCCCCAGGTCGCCCCTCGCGGCCGCGGAGCGCGGTCCCCGGCTGCGGAGACCCACCTGGGAGCGGCCGGGTGCCCCGCCGGGGCGGAGGCGCCTGTTTTCCCAAGGCTCGGCCCCGCAAGGCTGAGGCCGCCTCTCTCCTCCTCCCCTTCCCGGGGCTCGGCTGCAAGGGCGGGGTCTCATCTGGGTCTTGAACCCACTTCAATCACTCTAGAGGAGGATCGCCGTCGTGTGCAGCGGGAGGCCCGGGCCAGCGCCGCAGCCTGCAGTCTCTCTGCCCGCAGGACTGAGCCCTCGCCGCCTGAACGCTCGGGCTCCGGCCGCCGTGGCCTCGGGAAACGGCTGTTTACGGGTTTATGTGAAAGGCACAGCCGGTGGGTGTTTGAGAATAAGTGCTGGTGAGTGCAGGCTGCAGCAGTGACGGCGATGGCGAATAATATTTGAATAATGTATAGTAAACAGCGTCGCCAGTACTAAATAAGCATAAATATGCGGAAAAAATAACGCCTCTATAGTATTTTAGCTATTTCCTTACACCAAAAGATGTGTAGGGGTTGCTAGTCTTTTGGGGATTAAGAGAAAATTGAAACTGGGCTTTTCTCGGTAGGAGAGGATAAGAAAGGAAAAAGAAATGAAAATGGTGGAAATGTACAATTTCCTTTCTGATTGTCACCTATGGCGCTGTCTCCCTTTGGGTGAGGAGGAGCATGTGTAGTGTCCCTTTTGAGCATCATAACTGTTTTTTCCCCTCCCCAGTTTTTTCATCACTATAGAAGAAATTTCCCTTCTAAGCAGTCTTGAACAACCGTGCCTGACACATTATATCAAAAGAAAGTGGTGAAGTGCTCACGGAAACCCCCGCAGGACCCACGCAGGGCCGATGCTGTCTGTCTTGGAAGTAGACTCCCGTGCTTAGGGCTGAGGACTGAGAGGACCCGTGGGATTCTCTAACGTAAACACCTTCATTTAACCTGTGGGAAAGAAATGAAGGCTTGGAGCAGCGAAATGGCTCGCCAAAATCAGTGTTAATTAATTTTTAGAAACTTGGTGTTCCTTTTCTTGCAACATTAGTAAAAAAAAACCTCTTTCGTCATTACTCTATATTTACCATTTCCTCCCAGTAGCCTTGTAAAGGGTTATGAAATATGGAATGGAATGTCACATGTTTGCCACTAGGAAGATGAAATTCTCCAAGTGTTGCAGAAATGAAGTTTTTACATCCTTTGGCCTGGACCCTTGTTTGTGTAGGTGGTTTCTTAGTGGTGTTCCCTCCCCACCACCACCCCTTCTTTTAGAAGCAAGCATTCGAGTTAAAAAAAAAAAAAAAAGAAAATCAATATACGCAGGTGGTATGGTGGTCAAGTTGCTGGATTTAACCATGGATGACTGTAGTTCTAGTCCCAGGCTCAGCTGTTTGAAAAGCACACCAGGCACATGTGCATGTATACCCAGAATCCGTAGAAGGTATTTCTATAGGGGGTGATTTCTCACTTTCCCTCTCTGGCTCTCTCCTGCAGGTACACGTGCTCTATGGCAGAAAAGCCTTAAAAAAAAAAAAAAAAGAGTATACAATATGGTCAAGATTTCCTTTCTGAAATAAAGGAAAACCACTACGTATAAAATCAAAACAATTTTACGTAAAATTGATGAATGTGTGAACAGTGTTCTTTTCCTATGATAATCGAGTCAAGTGTAAATTTTGGAAAACAAGTATTATTGCAATCTTTTGTCAATGGGTGACATGGATTCTGGCTCCTAATTTTGGGTGGAGTTTCTAACTTTGCCTTTTTCTCTAAAACAACATTGGTCTGTCGGAAAAGTCATGATATATTTTTTCTGTTTTTCGATGCAAAAGTGCATCATGACTTTTCAGACAACACAATAAAAGTACAATAAATATGTTCTTTAACCACTATCCACCAGTTTAAATGCCACCTTCACAACCTGATCTTCCCAGTCTAAATTAATAGTCACTGTTTATCACAGTTTTTGGTAACAAAAATGCACATTTTCTTCATGGCTATGAAAATGATCTAGAATGATCTTGTTCATTTTTTTTGAGGGGGCACTAGTTTGAGTGTCTCCTCTACTTGGCTGTTATTTCCATGAGTGGAAATCAGGGTCTGTTCGATGTTTTCACTGCCATGGGCAGCTCACGGTTGGCAGTTAATATTTGTTGAATGAATTAATGTTAGTAAAGATATGAAGGAGAAAAAGATAAATGTAGTTTTGGGGCCCCTGTCCTTTCTGAGTTCAACATTATCGAGTGCCATTAGCTATACAACCAAAGTAGAGGTGGGTTTTTTTCTGTTCATTCAACAGATGTTTGTTCAGACCTGCTAGGAACTGGGAGGGCTGCAGGGGTGGAGTGTGAGAGGGCCCTGCCCATCCTGTGTTTCCCTGGCACTCTGTAGTGCACTGATTTGTGTTGATCTCGCCCAACTATTGGGTCATCGGACAGGTCATGCGTATTTTTCTAAGCAAAAATGCTTCATGACTTTTCCAACGACTCGGTAGATTATAGGTTTCAGGAGAGAGTAGGACCTTGCCTTATTCTTAATATCTATCCTCGGTGTATAAATTAGTATCTGACACTCACTCATGTTGAATGAATGACTACAGGATATGGCGATTGAGAGAATAACTACTGGAGGGGACTAGCAGGTAGCGTGGTGGTTAAGGCACTGGACATGCCCACATGGCCCACTATGGTTCGAGTCCTGGACCTGGTGACTTGCTTTCTCACTTTCCCTCGTTCTCTCTGTGTCTCTCTCTGGTCAAATTAAAAAATGAATGAATAAATAAAATTTTTTAAAAAGAGAGAGAGAATAACTACTGAAATTGGACTGAGCTAAAAGTCTAGTCCTCCACTTGTTAGCTGCGTACTGTTGACAAATAGTAAGAAACTTCTTGTACTAAATTTCTTCATCTGTAAGTTGGGTAATAATAGTACCAATATTGTGTTTTTTTTTGTGTGTGAGTCTTAAAGAGGGGGACCAGCAGGTGGCATGGTGGTTTAGGCACTAGAATCCCGATGGCTCACCAAGTCTGAGTCCCAGAGCTGGCGAATGGCTTTCTCTTCCCCTTTCTTTCTCTTTTTCTCTCTAGTGAATGCACATGCCCTAAAACAAAGTAATAGCAAAAATAATAATAATAAAATTACATCAATAATTCTTTTTTAAAAAGGAGGTAAGGGACCAACAGTTAGCGTAATGGCTATATTACTGGACTCCCATGTAGGTGACAGCGGTTCGAGTCCCGGACCCGGTGCTTAAACTCACGTTGGGCGTGTGTGTGTGCATGCCCAAGATCCCAAGAGGAGAATGGAGAAGGGATTGTGACGTGGCCATACCCCTGGGGGGTGATTTCTCACTTTCTGTCTCTCTGTCTTTCTAGCAAGCGCACGCACCCTATAGCAAAAAATAAATTAATTAATTAATTAAAAAGGAGGTAATGCAGGTATAGCTTGCAGCACTGTTCTTGGCACATATTAGATTCAGTAAATATTATCACTATAGAAAGATCCATAAAGAGCATCTGTAAAAGTGTTTTGGGTTTGGAGGATGTGATAGACTCTCTGTAGGGCCAGAGTTTTGGGGGAGAAAACAAAGTTTTAGATAACATTCTTGAAAGTGCAAATGAATTGGAAAAATGGGAGAATCAAATTGAGGAACATGGACAAGTTGAAATTGGACCCCAATTTCTTTTCCAGTTGCACTCGTTTCTTTTACCTCATTATTGCTTTCCTCTATAAAGTGCAGTTTTCGGCACCAGCAGATGGCTTAGCAGTTATGTCATTAGACTCCCACATGGCTAACTGTGATTCAAGTCCCAGACCTTGTGGCTTCAAAATCACTCTGGGCACTTGTGGGTGCTTGCCCAAGATCCCAGAAGGAGGAGGAAGAGGAGGAGAAGGGATTGATTACGGCATTCCCATGCCCCCGGTGGTGATTTTTCACTTTCTCTCTCAATGTCTCTGTCTCTCTCTCTGGTGAGCACACATGTTCTAAGGCAAAAAGCTCTACCAAAAAATATATATTAAACTACATTATATATATTATATATACATATACTATATGTATATATTATATATAATGTTTATATATATATATAATTTTTCTGCTGTTTTTTGAAGAGATCTAAGAAAAAGGAGAATTTCATTTTTTTCGTACCATGCATATATTTCCATGTGGAAATCCAGCTGCATTCATAAACCACTATACTGCTGGCTGGCCCTTTGCATTTAATTTTTTATCTATTTAGAGTTAATTTTTTTGGAATTATCTTATTTAACTTTATTTATTTATTTTTAATTTGGCCAGAGAGAAACAGAGTGAGAGACCAAGAGAAAGTGAGAGAGAGAGAGAAAATGGGAAAGCAAGCGGCCAGGTCTGGGACTCGAACTGTGGTCAGCCATATGGGAGTCCAGCACCCTTAGCCACCATGCCACCTGCTGGCCCCAGAGTTAATTTTTTTAAAATAGTTTTTTGTTTAATTTAACTTTATATATTTGTTTATTTTAGTTTGACCAGAGTGGGACAGAGTGAGAGAGATAGAGGGAAAGTGAGAAAGCAAGTCACCAGGTCCAGGACTCGAACCACGGTTGGCCATGTGGGAGTTCAGTGCACTTAACCACTATGCCACGTGCTGGCCCCTGGAGTTAATTTTTCTATGTCATGTGAGTGAAGTATGGCCAATGTCTATTTTTTCTTTGTGTGAGAATGAACAGTCTTTCAGCAGTTACCCTTTGCTGGGAGATTACCCTTTCTTCTCATTGGATTGTTTTGTCTTTGTTGGAAATCATTGGCCATATGTGGGTAGCTGTGTCTCTGGACTCTTTGTTCTGTTTCATTGATCTGTATTTATGCTTTCACCAACACCTACTGTGTCTCAATTACTGTAGCTTTAAAGTAAGACTGGAAATCAGCTATTTTATTATTATTATTATTATTTGCTTTTCTACATAAGATTTAGAGTCAGCTTCTTGATGTCTGTTTAAAAACTTCTGGGATTTTGGGACCAGTGGATGGCGTGGTGGTTATGTTGTTGGACTCCCACAGAGCAGCCTGTGGTTCGAGTCCCAGACCCAGTGACTTGAAAATCATGGTCTGTGTGCCCAAGATTCTAGGAGAAGAATGGAAGAGAAGGGATTGTGGTGTGCTCATCCCCACTTAGGGGTGATTTCTCACTTTCCCCCTACTGTCTCTGTTTTTGTCTCTCTATGGCAAGTGCACAGGCCCTAAGGCAAAAACCTTTTTTTTAAAGAATTATTTTTATTTAACTTTATTTATTTATTTATTTAAATTTGACCAGAGAGGGCATAGTGAGAGAGAGAGAGAGAAAGTGAGAAAGCAAGCCACCAGGTCTGAGACTCGAACCATGGTTGGCCATGTAGGAG